CACACACACGTATATACATATATACACACACATACGCATATATACATATATGTATATATAGATAGATATGTGAATTAACGTGATTATAAAGTCCCTTTCTATTTAACTGTGATAATTTAGACGTCCTGGCATTGAAAAAATCACGCCATAATGTATTGCTGCTAGGAAATATTTAATGTTATTTATTTAATTATTTTAATGGCTTGTGGAGACAGTGCCGGAATTAGTCAAAGCTGACAGTTCCGGTGCTATCAATGTATAGATAAAGAGTTGAACTATTTATTAAAATAAGGCGTAAGAGAGGAAATTATGAAGATTAAGAGGAAGAGGAACCATTAATTAATGTCCAATTAAAATCATGGAAAGATACAGATAGAATGGGTGTAAGGGTTTCGATTCCACTTCATGTATATTTTTGTTCTATGTTAATGATTATTGGTTTATAATTAGTGGAAAAAGGGTGGGTATAAAGTTAACTTAAAATGAGTTAATTTAGTTGACTATTGCTTGTTTATATTATAATATTCATTGCAAAGATTTACATATTGATATGCCACCTTTTTATTATTTTTTGTTTATTAAATAAAATGCTAATGGTTAAAAATGTTTCTATAACCATTGTTTATTTGGCAAAGGAATGTATATGATCCACCTCACGTGTCCTAAGACCGTTAGAGTCACGCTACCCAAATCAAAATTTATACTGACAAGATGAGCAATAGTTTGTTGTAATTTAGTTAGAATATTTAATTTTGTATGTGGATATGAAAAATACATGTCTCTGACATATGTACATATATACTTATATCTATATATATACATATATCTATAAGTGTGTGTGTGTGTGTGTGTGTGTGTGTGTGTGTGTGTGTGTGTGTGTGTGTGTGTGTGTGTGTGTGTGTGTGTGTGTGTGTGTACTACAATGACAGCGACATTCATGACAATACAAGACATCCATGAACGCAATACAGGAAGTAACGATATAACACATCGTAACTAATAGCGAAGGAGAGAAGGAAAGACTCGGATCACAGTCAGCAAGTGTCAGCTTTGGGAGCAGCTCTGACTGGCTGAGCTGATGAGGCGGTGAGGCGACAGGATACAAAAGTTAGCTTCGTGCGCCGAGTTAGCTGAAACCTCTGCCGAAGTCCAGTATTTCCTATTTCACTGTGAAGACAGATAGACGGGCAAATATGCAGGCGAGTGACAGACTGACTGACGAAGAGAGAGAGAGAGAGAAGAGAGAGAGAGAGAGAGAGAGAGAGAGAGAGAGAGAGAGAGAGAGAGAGAGAGAGAGAGAGAGAGAGAGAGGGGGGGAGAGAGAGAGGAGAGAAGAGAGAGAGAGAGAGAGAGAGAGAGAGAGAGAGAGAGAGAGAGAGAGAGAGAGAGAGAGAGAGAGAGAGAGAGAGAGCACCGTAGAAAAGACAGAGGAGTTCATTTAAGAGAGTGTCTGCATCTCCAATACACAGCAGACCCGTTTTCTATGATCTGCATACCTCTACGATCCAAATTCGTAAATTTGCCATTGCAGAAATCACAGAAAGTTGATCACAACAGCATTCACGATCATGATAACAGTGATGAGTGGAAGGAACCAGCGATATCAACAAGAAAGATAATGAAGTGAAATGGCGACTCCAGAAAAGTGTAACAGAAACGAGCAAAAATAAACTACAGCAATGATTACTATGGCTTGTTACAGGGAATATTCGTTTCCTTAATTTCATGTTTGGACTATGAGTAGCACATGTACATTTTGATTACAATCTGCTTATAAATATTCGTGTAAATCTGGGACAACGAATAAAGATAAAAAAAAAAATTCTCACCGGCACGCGCTCGTCAGAAACTAAAGGCCATAAAGTACAAAAAAAAAAAAAAAAAAAAAAAAGTGGTTCCCCTTGCCTGTTCAGGAATCACTTCGGGATAAATGGTATTCCAGAATGTTACTTTACCCGTCCCTTACCCTAAGTCTTTCGTACAGCGTGGGCGTTGCTGAAATGTTGGGGCTTTTAGCTAAGAGCGGGGGGGGGGGGGGGGGGGGGGGGGGGGGGGCGTGAAAAATTTTCTTATCACTTATAATTCCCTTAGAATCTTACATATTTTTGTAACTGATTGCAGGATGCTAGAAAATAACACGAGGTTGCAGAAAACCATTTTTTTTTTTATTATTCATTCTTTTTATCATTTATTAATTTTTTTTTTACCTGCCAAACTACATATTTTGCAAGTAGGCTAATAACATACATGAAATTAACCCTATGCCTTAATATAAGGAATAATGTGTGTGTGTTACCATGCATATATATATATATATATATATATATATATATATTATATATATATATATATATATATGTATATATATATATGTATATTATATATATATGTATATATATATATATATATATATATATATAAAAGATTCTCAATAAATGACGGATAAGTTTGTGTAACGTGCATGTTTTTTCTTGTTTATTTTATTTTTTTATTTCATTTTATTTTTTTTTTTTTTATTTTTTATTTTTTTTTTTGGGGGGGGGGGCATACTTAATAATTCGGTTATAAGTCCTCAATTCTAGCCAACAACGAAAGGGGGCCCGTGGAGATCGGGGGTCCTGGGTGGGGGCATATGGGTGAATTCGTTCCTAATTGGCCATTTAAAGAATGATAATAAAAAAAGAAAAAAAAAAAACTCGAGCAAAAATTCTCATTTTAGAGGATGAAGAAAATGGACGATAAAATAATGGAAGATTCCTAAACGCACAAACTTTCGCAAAAATCACCGTAACAATCAATCCCTTTACAGTCGTTGAAGTGGTGCTAAGTTGATGATAATAATCGTTATTATTGTTATTACAATTATGTATTACAATTACAATAATGAAAACAATTATTATGATAATTGTAATAACAATTATCATAATATCACTGTTTTCATTATTTTTATCATAGCTTATCGTAATATTTTCCCCGTCGTTTGTTCTTATTTATCTTTAGAACTTCCTGTGACTTTTTCCTTCATAAAATGCATACCTTTAAATTCCTCTTTAAAGAGAGACCCTCATCGCTCGCGCCAATACAGCTGGTTTACGGGGGAAATGTTGCCTCTTCTTTTATTAGAAAAGTTACTTAATATACCGGCCGGAAGGAGACGGAAGGACAAGGAGAGCCCGGGGAGAAAGGGAATAGAGAGAGGAGAGAACGAGAGAGAGAGAGAGAGAGAGAGAGAGAGAGAGAGAGAGAGAGAGAGAGAGGAGAGAGAAGAGAGAGAGAGAGAGTGAGAGAGAGAGAGAGAGAGAGAGAGAGAGAGAACGAGAGAGAGAGAGCCAAGACGATGAGATTATTGAGAGAGAGAGA